GATAGACTGAGTGACATTTTGAAGAGAGATCCTGGGACATATAGGACAAATTCATCTGTAGCAATGAGTTCAAATAAAGCAAACCCCCAAAGTATGTCCCAAAACCCACACTTAACACAAAAAAGAAAGGGGAGGACACATATTTTTTTTAATAAAACTGACATTTTTCTAAATTCCTATCTAAAAATCTCAAGCTATACTACTAGAGAGCATTCAAAGAATTTACATCACACAAATAAATATATCACAGTTAATGAAGTAGATGAGTTCCTGAGCATTATTTTTTTAACCAGTCGCTCTCATTGCAGCATGGTTTCAAGGCAACTGTGTAGTAATAGTGAGGCTGTGGACCATATTTTCGTTCTTGTTAACCACTGGTGGTCCATGGACCACAGGTTGGGAACCATTGGTCCAGGCCCATAGCCGGGTTGGGGGCAGGTTAAGGGTTCAAAACTCCCCCCCCCCAAAAAAAAATGTGTCAGGTTAAAAAAACCCTGATTTCCTCATGAATTGGTTAACCAGTTAAAATCTTAACTGGTTAACCAGACTTTTTTAATCTGAGACATTTTGGGAGGGGGGTTAACCCTTATCCCCTTCAGCTACGGCGCTGCACTGATCTAAAGCTAATAATATGCACATGTGAATTGAAACAACCAGACTATGTAAGCCTTGCATAGGTAAGCAAAATATTTTCTTTTTTTCAAATAATTGTATTTGTTGAAGTTAATAGGATGCAAAATATAAAAAGCAGAATCATCTGTAGATAAACAAATACATCTAATATATGTATGTTGTCGTCCCGTCCCCCCAAAACAGATACATTGAATATTCTATCTAATCTTTCCCCTCCTTCCCCCGCCCGTGACTTCCAACACTAGTCACGGTGAGTCCCATGTCTTATTAAAACTACCCTTATTTCTGATTTAGTAAATTCCTACATTTGTCTTCCTTTCCATGTATTCAAATGCCAGCCTCCATTTTTAACAAACTTGTCATTATTTCCTCCCCAGAAACCACTAGATAACTTAAGCATTAGAATATATTCTAATAACTTTTCTCTCCAGTCCTTTTTGATAGATCTTTTTCACCTTTCCATGATTGTGTTGTCAGCCTAGGTGCAACAAACCTATATCAACCAATTTCCTTATCCCTTTGCTAATTCTCTCTCTAAATATTCATAAAAGGCATGTTTTTGGATTTTTCTTAACTTTCTTGGTAATCATTTTGTCTGTTTTCTTAATCACCTTTTTTCCAAAAATCTTGTACCATCTTACAGGTCCACCAAACATGGAAGAATGTGCCTTTCTGCATCTTTCACAGTCAGCATTCTCTTAGCTGGGTTTCATCTATATTGGCTGTTGTCTCTGGTGTTATATAACATCTATAGTACATCTTATTCATATTTTCTTTAATGGAGCCAGCTACTGAGAATTTAAATCCTCTTTTCCAAAATTGCTTCCAATTCTCCAGATCAATATTTTTCTCTAGGTCTTTAGCCAGGAGATCATAGCAATTCTTATTCGGTGGTACTCTAGATCATATTCTAGTATATATTTATATAATCTAGAAACTATACCCTTCTTCCCCTTTTTAAGAATATCTTCCAACGTTGATTTTCTGTTAGCAAACCCTACTTTAACATCTTTCCTAAATCGATCATGCAGCAAAACATTTTCAAACTTTGAGAGATCACTTGAGGACTTTTTCCAAAAATTTTTGGAGACAGTTTCTTTTCCTTTCACCTCTCCTTCTTTCTTATGATTTCCATTTTGAAACCAAACTGATACTGGGGGTAGCTGGTAAGGCAGATATATCTGTTTGTCTCCTTCTACATTTAATATATGCTCAGTAAGGGATACTGGAGGGATCTGCTGTTCCCGCAGTGGTTCTCAACCTGGGGTCCCCAGATGTTTTTGGCCTACAACTCCCAGAAATCCCAGCCAGTTTACCAGATGTTAGGGTTTCTGGGAGTTGTAGGCCAAAACACCTGGGGACCCACAGGTTGAGAACCACTGTGAGAAGCATACAGCTGTATTGGGATTTCCACTTTTTCACATTAAGCTTCATTGTGTTGCTTACTGCAGACATGCTGCTGCAACTTGATCCTAAAAAATCTGTGGCATGCCAATCTTTCTTCTAAAAGAAGCTGGAAAATTGTGTGTGCTTTTTAATGAGAAAATCCCATTGATCTCAGTGGGGCTCACTTATCTGACATAGATAAATTTATATAGAAATGTTTTATGGTGTAGGTTTTCATAGAATACAGTTCATTTTAACCAAAGCCCTCACCTGGAACTTAAATTCTAGAATCCAATGGTGTGAACGATTATAAATTGCTGGTCTTTCAGGATCCAGGATTTTCTTGTTGGACTCTGGAAATGCTTTTTCAAATTTCTCACAATTTTCTCCAAAAGTAAAATAGGGACCATTCTAGAACATAAGTTGTCAGGTTTCTTCTTCTCCTTCTCCTCCTCCTCCTCCTCCTTCTCCTCTTCCTCCTCCTCCTCCTCCTCCTCCTTCTCCTCCTCCTCCTCCTTCTCATTATTATTATTATTATTATTATTATTATTATTATTATTATTATTACTTCTTCCCTTTTTCAAGCTGCAAAATACCTATGGGGAAATCGACAGCTGTGGTATTGCTTTGTAGAAAGTTAAATTGCTTTAATCATTCTAAGCCAGATTGCTAAAAGAAGACAACTTGATTCTCCCTAAGTAATGGCCACTTCCTTCTGTGGTCAAGAAAGCATTGCTTAACTTCTTTAAAATATTTCAAATGATAATACTGAATGACATCTAAATTTGTTATGCAAACCGCATGCATTAGGGAAGAGGCTAGGGTTAGGGATTTTTTTAAAAGCTTTTGACAACGATATTCTTTGTAGTAAGGTCCCAATTCTAAATTACCCATGTGCACATCAGTTCTAAGGATGGGCACTTCACATTTTCAGAGGGTGCCAATTTACCACTATTCATGATCACCAATTTTGACCTTGCATACAATATGGAGAAACTACTTCCATGGTGGTTCTGTGGTTGAAATGTTGCTGCCAGATAATGGCAGGCTCCCCATCTTTCTATAGGGGAAGATGTTTTGAGCTGCCGAACAAAGGCTCCCCCCCCCCCATGTAATGGGGCAAAGGGGAAGCTGTGATGGAGCAGGGTGTGGGACAATAGATCCTCATGCCTCCTGAGTGACTGCCGCCTGGATGAGGAGAGACGCCTTTGTTCCTGCAGTGCGGTTGATGGAGTCTTAAGTGTTCCCTTTCCCATATCTTACTGCTTAAAGAGCTTTATCTGCTTGCACATCTCTTATTTACTCACCCACCCATTGCCTACCCATGGCTTCATAAACTTATTATATTGCCCGCTCACCCACCTGTCCACTCACTCACTCACTCATTCACCCACCCATCTGCGCACTCACCCACCTGTCCACTCACTCATTCACCCACCCATCCACTCACTTGCATGTTCATCCATCTTGCTTGCCCATTCCCTTTCAGGCACGGTGCTTCACGGGTGAGAGGGAAGGTGCGCGGGGTGACTCGTGGTGGCTTGTGCACCTCCCCCCCTCATCACATGGAGGGCATGGGAGAGGGTGCTTTGGCACACTTTCTCTCCCCTCATCAGATTGCAGAAAGGACAACAACACATGTTGCCTCACTGCCCTTTCTGTCATCACACGGCAAAAAGGAGAGGGAAGTGCGGACAGCTCCATTGGAGCTACTCAAACAACCTTTTCCTCCTTGTAGTGGAGGAGAAAGCACCTTTTGGCGCTTCCACTTTGGGAGGAATGTGGGCAAGGCCTGCCATGTATCGTGTGATGGCTTACGCCAGGTCCTGTCCTTGCTGTGCATAAAAGCAGCAAAATGGGACAAAAATGTCCCATGTGAAGAGGTGGTAGATCAGTGCTCCTCCAGGTGTTTTGGACTCAGCTCCCAGAAATCCCAGCAAGCTTATCTGCTGTTAGGCATTGTGGGAGCTGAAGTTCAAAACATCTGGAGGAGCACAGTTTGAGAAACTCTGATCACGATAATCTGCTTCAGCCAGAAATTCTTAGGGTTGTGAAGCCACCATACACTCCAGAACCTTGCCTAAAAATGGGATGTTTGAGACTGGTCTGTAGTTCTCCAATTCAGGGGGATCTAGGGAAGGTTTTTTTAAATAAGTGGCCTTACCACAACTTCCTTCAGGCCTGTGGGGACCCTGCCCACACCTCTCCAAGAATCCTGGATGACAAAGTACTGCGGATCTCAGCAATATAAACATTAGTTTATACCATCAAGGAGAGATACAGATATCAATGTGAAATCCAGTTTTGATTATTTCACATTGATATCTATATCACAATTAAAGGTGTTTATCCATAATCTTAAGTATTCTTAAGTAGCCACTGAAATAGAGTTCTTGAGACTGGAGCTGCAGCTATATAGATCACTAGTGAGTGCTTGCCCCTTCCCAGAAACATAAATATTTATAAAATATAAATATTATATATGTTATATGAAGTGGCATTGTGTTGTTATTGTATATTTTTTGTATGTTAACACATGTTGTAAACCGGTCCGAATCCCTCTTTGAAGGTGAGAGGATCGGTATATAAAACCTCGAAATAAATAAATAAATAAATATGTGAATAATTTATATATGTGGAACAGACAAAAAGGTAATACCACTAGTTGTTGGTAATGATCTTTATTATTATGCAAAGCTGTAAGGAAAAAGGAGGGGCTTTTTGGGGTGGGGGTGGGGGTGGGTAGAATCATTTGTGATTATAAAAGAAGATAGCTCTCTCTATATTATGCATATTGATTGTTTATAAAATATAAGAAAAGAAGGCTATCTGTTTTCAATTTGCTAAAATCAAGCAGCATTTTCTTTAAGCATTCAAACTCTCAAGCATTTTTGACCATTTGTCTGTTGTTTTTCACCAAAATTCATGCTATGAGCGGTGTATGTAATTTTGACATAGTCTTGTGACATTTGGAAACACAACTATTCAGTAATTTCAATAAATCTCACTGCAGTGATTCCTTTCACTTGAGTGGAGTTCCATTTGGCCACTATCATTTGGTCTCCAGTTTTCTTTGCCACATACTCTATTTTGGATGTTACAGTTTCTTGTGGTAGTACAGTCCTAATAAGCAAACAAAAGAAAAACATGGAAATCAGTACACTTAATCCTTTCTATATAGATTCTCTGTAGACCAGTGGTTCTTAGCCTGTGGGCCACGGACCACCAGTGGATCGTGAGGATGAAAATCTGGTCCAAGAGCCTCCTTCCTCTTTATTTTATTTTATTTTTATTTCCTCTCCTTTTGTGCTGCCTGCCACTCTTTCCCTGTCGCTGACCATGGCATATGTTCTGTATCAGAAACTAGAGCTGATGTAATCTATCCAATGCAATTTTCTGAATCAGCACCCCAAATAAACAAACCAAATCTAAAGTTGATAAGTATTCAAACATTGCTCTTGTTTAAATACTGATATATCCAGGCTACGGTCATCTCAAGACTGGACTACTGCAACACCCTCTACATTGGCCTTCCTCTGTTGGTGATCCAGAAGCTCGAGTTGGTACAAAATGCAGCTGCTCAGCTTCTTGCGGGAATTCTGATGAGATGCCACATAAAACCAATCTTACTGCAGCTGCATTGGCTAACAATTGAGCACCGGATCACTTTCAAAGTGATGGTATTCACCTTTAAGGCCTTGCATGGTCTGGGGCCACTGTATCCCAGGGACTGCCTCCCCCTACCAACCTCAGAGATCCCTCTGTTCTGAGGACCAAGATTTGTTGGAAATTCCCAATGTCAAGACCTTGCGTCTAACAGCAACTAGACGCAGAGCCTTTACAGCAGTGGCACCATCACTTTGGAATACTCTGCCACCTAAAGTCCGTGCCTTGCGGGACTTATCAGCTTTCCACAGGGCATGTAAGACATATCTGTTTCGACAGGCCTTTGATCTTTGACATTGCTGTTTTTAAATTGTTTTATTTTTTTAAAAAAATGTGTTAGATTTTAGCCTGTTCTTGTAAGCCATTCTGAGCCCCAGGGGAGTGGCGGCATATAAGTTTGAACAATAAATAAATAAATAAATAAATATAGATTTGGAGAGAGAACTTATGAAGCAATTGTACCATTTTAGCCATCCAGGAAGACTGTATACAGAGCAAAAGCACACCCTTGTTTGACATCTGCCAGTGTATCAGGTATCTTTTCTACAAACCCATCTGCAGACAAAACCTGTGCAAGACTTATTAGTGTGAGCTTGTAAAGGAAGTTAAATCCAGCAAATTCTTATCCTCTGTCAGAGGAGAACTGTGTTTTTGAATATGGTTCTGTTTTGAAAATACATGCTGACTAGCAACCTCATGATTAGTAACATACACATGCCCAAAAATGTGCAGGGAGAATCCACAGAGCAAGGTAACTATGGACACTGTTTCCATTGTTTTAGAAAATTTAATTTATGTTGCAAACTTCTCAGTTGGATGCATACTGTTTATCGGATATTCAGTTATTGGTAGTTTTATATTTTATATGGTTTGTTATATATTTTCTTTATTGCACTGATTGTAAATTAACATCTGAAGACTTTGGCCTGACAGGCAGGATAAAGAAGCATTATTTCCCCCTGTAACATTATTTTGTTGCCCTTCCCTTGAGCAGAGTTGGTTTGGTGTTCTAAATCTAATCCTCTGAGACATGTGAGAACTGCAAGAAGAAATGCTCCTTTTAGGTTAAAGATAGGAGTTGATACTAGCAGACTGAAGACTTTTTTTTTGCACTGATGCAAATGTTTGCTTTACTATTATAGCAGTTTTTAAAAGACTTTCTGGCAGCATTATACAACATAAACACAACCTGTATACATAAAAATGCTCTGTGCATAATGAGTACCTTAAAAACAAAAGAACCAATGAATGAAATCACACCAAATTTGGCAACAAAATGTCTCACAACGTTCTTGTTATTTTTATCAACTTATACCAGCATTATTCAAGCCAGCTTTTAATAGCATCTAAGAAAACAATAGTGACACAGAGTGTGTTACTGAACAACCTTTCAATAATACCTCAGCCTGTTTATTGTTAATATGGTGGCAGCGGAAATCCTTTGAAGAATTATTTTAAACCTCTAAGTTCCAGTGGTTCCCAGTTTCTAGCTTTTAAATATACAATTGGTTTCAACCACTATACTCCCTCTATATTTTGATGAGCTAGTCTGTAGTGGTGGTGTCATCGTTATAATTTGGTTGAGCAGCGTTGTGGGATTATTTTCCTATATTTCTCCATCTGATAAAATTCAAAAATTTAAATTCTTCTCTACTACTCGGCCTTCCTGCTATCATTATAGACACCATTAGCTGCAATCTATATCCATATCTCAACCTTCTTCATATCTTTGTGATCCTGTCTTTGTCTCCATGTCTGATCTGCCCATGGGCTTTGTGAGGCATTAATGATCCTGGTTTTGGGATGCTTGGCCTTGTTACTGGGACTCACCTACCTGGAGCGAAACAAAGCCCTTATAGCTACATTCAACTTACCCATGGTCAAATGCTTTTAATAAAACGTCTAGATCTTCTACCAGCAGTTTGCAGTTTTCCAAGGGAATTGGCAGTTTATTCTTTAAAATCAATGCACAGGTAATTTTTTCATTTACCTTTGCTGTACTGGGCATCTGCAAAACATAGAGGTATCATTAGATTATTCAAAGGAATATAAAAAACTTTTTTTAAAAAACCAGGGACCACATTGACCAGGAACCGCTCTCCAACATTAGTACCAAAAGGGTTACAAACCAATTTTTGCTCAACTTTAGATTCGATTTGGTTATTTGGGGTGCTGATTCATAAAACTGCATTAGATAGATCACATCAGCTCTAGTTTCTGATACAGAACATATGCCATCCAGTAGTCGCCATCTGCTTGCTCACAAAAAACCATATTTAATAATCTAGAGCCACGGACCTTATTTTAGGTCTCACAGCCCACAAGTGGCCCACAGGTTGGGAACCACTGCACTATAGTATGTATGAATAAAAGGACACATCAAAAACCCACTTGCTTTGCCTGGCTTTACACAGGTTCCTGCTATGTGTCCATATACAAACCGATAATGCAGAAACAGTGTGGTGTAGTGGCTTGAACACTTTACTGCTCACCCTCTATACTGATGTGTAAGCACTCATTTCACAGATCCTCAAGCAATCTCCAACATTGATGTAAATAGTTCACTATTTTATACATGGCATGCCATTTAACTGCACTATTGTATATAATGGGACTTGAGCACCCATGAACTTTGGTATCCACAGGACGTGTGTGCCCTGGAACCGAATGCTAGTGAATATTGAGAGCCCACTGTAATACACAAACCATCTATTGCCAGGAATCCATATCTTACACAGTTCTCTTTCTACACAATATCAAAGCTTTTGTTTCTTACCAAAACTGTAAGATCTGGGTATAGAAAAGTCAATGTCAGGGGCTTTATGAGTTTCTCATTGGTTTCCTGAACATTAGCAAAAATATTGACTTTGACCAGAAGTTCATCCTCTGTTTGACTCATCACCTTCATGTAAGCATCAGCAGGTATTTTCAGAGGGATCTCAGTGACTGCATCAACACAACAAAGAGAAAGTTGGGGAAAGAAACATGCATTTGGGTTATTTTGAGTTTTCTGCGTTGTGTGGCCATGTTCCAGAAGCATTCTCTTCTGACGTTTGGTCTGCATTATTGCAGGCATCCTCAGAGGTTGTGAGGTCTGTTGGAAACTAGGAAAATGAGGTTTATATATCTGTGAAATGTCCAGGGTGGGAGAAAGAACTCTTGTCTGTCTGAGGCAAGTGTGGATGTTTCAGTTGACTACCTTGATTAGCATTGAATGACCTAGCAGTTTCAAGGTATGGCTTCTTACTGACTGGGGGAATCCTTTGTTGCAAGCTGTCCCTGATTGTTGCTTGTCTGGAATTCCCCTGTTTTGAGTGTTTTTCTTTATTTACTGTTATGATTTGAGAGGTTTTTTTAATACTGGTAGCCAGATTTTGTTCATTTTCATGGTTTCTTCCTTTCTATTGAACTTGTCCACATGCTTGTGGATTTCAGTGGCTTCTCTGCATAGTCTGACATGGTAGTTGTGAGAGTGGTCCAGCATTCCTGTGTTCTCAAATAATATGCTGTGTCCAGGTTGGTTTATCAAGTGCTCTGCTATGCCTGACTTCTCTGGTTGAAGTAGTCTGCAGTGCCTTTCATGTTCCCTGATTCGTGTTTGGTGGTCCCTATGTAGACTTGTCCACAGCTGCATGGTATCTAGTAGACTCCTGCAGAGGTGAGAGGATCCCTCTTGTCCTTTGCTGAATGTAGCATTTCTTGGATATTATTAGTGGTTGTGTTTCTTCATCAACTTCTCTATGTGGTCAGTGGTTCCCTTGATATATAGTAAGAACACTTTTCCTCTAGTTGGATCTTTACTCTCATGGCTTGTTCTCGGTCTTGCAGCCCTTCTGATGTATGTGGTGGAGTATCAATTGGCCGGTTTATATATCTGTGGAATGTCCAGGGAATGTCCCACCCTGGACATTCCGCAGATATATAAATCCTATTTTCCTAGTTTCCAACAGACCTCACAACTTCTGAGGATGCCTACCACAGATGCAGGCAAAACGTCAGGAGACAATGCTTCTGGAACATGGTCATACAACCTTGAAAACTCACAACAACCCAGTGATTCCATCCATGAAAGCCTTCAACAATACATTAAACATGCATTTAATACAGAAAAAGAGGGGAACTTGGGGGATATGGATACTTTCTAGAATTATGCCTAACTCAGTTGGGCCTAATCACTTTGTTCCTGAATCCAGAATCTGATGTTTTCCATTTGAAGTGGAAAATATTGTATGATGAACAGAGGAAAGAGAGGAAGAAGCTTCTGAAAAAAAGAGGGATTCATATGCCCTGCTCTGAACTGTTGTTGTAACCCAGCATTCCTAAAAATAGGAAGGCTATTTAGGCTGTGCCTACACTAGCCAAAATATTCCAGAATATTCTACTCTGATGCTGCCCCAGATACAGCACAGGAGTGACCGAAAGACAGTCAGCTGTCCACACAGTTGGCTGAATCCAATCAAGTGACATCACCAGCAAAGCTCCAGAGAGCTCCTTCTCGCTGGCCATGCTGTGGTGGACCTTTTTGTGTGTGTATATTGGATTGCCTTGAATCCAGCCCAATCCAACTGTCCATACATCAAAAATACCATGTTCTTTCAAGAGATTTTTGGAAGCTCCAGAGTAACTTGCATTTCATTTTATGTCAGGTTGATGGCTAGAAGTAATGCTTCTTCTGCAGATCCATCATATGTCTGCTTGGAGCAGGTTCAAAATAAGTTCATTTTAAGTCCATGTAGGCATGGCATTAGATAAAGACTGGGATGCTATTTGTCTGCAGGGATGAACAGCCATAATCAAAATTAAAGTCTGTGAGAGTTTGTATACACACCTGTCTTGCCTTCTGTCAGGATCGTCTGCTGGATAGTTCCAAGGCTGGCCTCTATTTCTCCAGTGTATGACTCCAAATGACAAGAAGCTGAAAGGTTGACCACCCGTGCATCTCCTGACTTGCTCTTAATAGTAATATTCAGATCAATGGGTTGTCCTGTCAGGACTACTTTCTCTTCTTTACACCCAAGCTCAATGCTTGCCTTGATGAACTTTAAGGCTTGTTTTGATGCACGATAGCGATCTTTTAAATGCGATATAGCAATTTGCATCGCTTTCCTTTCTTCTTCAGAGTCTAAAATCAGGAAAATAAAGTAAAATACTTCAGCCCTTAATTCTTGACAAGTTACTTTTTAGTTGTATGTACAAAAATGTTTTCTCAGAAATACAGAATCTTATTTAAGATATTGGTTATTTAAATCTAGTTGCATGTTGGGGTATTGTACCTAAACAACTCTGGATGGCCTATCTTGAGTGAAACAGGCAGTATGTTATCTGGTTATTTCTCTTGAAGCTTTCCACAGCCTTCCACAGTATTGATCCCAAGACATTTCTGGATGAGGTGTTTGGGACCGGCAGAAGAGATATGCAGGGTTCTTGATTCAGTCGATCTGCTCTGATCACATTGATTCAGTGGATCTGCCACAGATGCAGGGAAAATGCCAAGAGAAAATGCTGCTAGAACATGGCCATACTGCCCGGAAACTACACAACATCCCACTAAGTATAGATTATCACCAGGGAAGCTGGACTCATTTATACAGCCACTGGGTCTTTATTGACTACAATGTTCAAACTACAGTTGTTCATAACAGGCTGTTGAATAGTCTGGATCCCTTTCTTGTAGATCAGTGCTTAGAAATGGCAAGTAGTGATTGGTAACAGGGCCCTTCTCTTGTGGCACCCTTACTTGGTTTTTGGTACTCTGTTAATAAAACAAAACACTGGTTATATTACTTACCTTCTGGGAATTTGTATTCATCTTTGATATCTTCATGTGTGTCTTTGCCAATAGCTTTGGTGAGGATTTTCTTTCCTATTTCCTTGGATTCTACCTTGTAATTGACATATTTATCTTCTCCGTTAACTTTCTCTATGATCCAATGGACCTCATCTGCATTCACTGCAGAAAACAGTAACATGGTGTCATAGTCAAGACTGACTTCTCCATATTTGATTGCCTTTACTGATGCAGGACCACAACGAAAAATCCCTATGGAGAAGTATGAAGAATATTATTTTTCCTCTGTTTACATAAAAAGCAATTGTCTTGCTGTACAATCTTTCTGTATGCATCCATCCAAAAGTGAATGGCAGCTGAACTTCAGCTAAAGAAAAGCAATAGCAATTGCTAAACTGTGGTTTCAGGCCACAAACTGTTAAGTATTATGACTTCGGAAATCTAGGGACTTAAGAACAGCCTGCTCTCTCATCACAATCACATTGTTTAAGCAAATGGAAACATGTATCATCATTGAAACAATCACATTCACACATCACTGCAATTGCACTAGACCAATGATCTATGGTGCAAATTTGTGGAGTCAAGTTTCTGCACAGTCTTGTTTCCCAGTTATTTTTGCCCTGCCTAGTTTGGAGGAAATCAGCAAAGCCATCAGCCAACTAAAAAACAAACAAACAAAAAAACAAAGCCAACGGACCTGATAGGATCCCTGCTGAAATATTTAAAGAGGTTGGACTTGAGCTGAAACAACAACTTCACCAGCTCATTGAAAAAGTTTGGGCAACCAAGAAAATCCCAGCAGACTTCAAAGACGCCAGCGTAGAAACCATCGAGGTATCTCCCTTTTAACCTCTGCAGGGAAAATCCTCGCAAGAATCCTTGCAAACCGCTTTCTACCCATCTCAAAAGACATCCTCCCAGAATCCCAGAACAGCTTCTGCCCCTCCAGAGGAAAAGTAGATATGATCTTCACTGCACAACAGCTCCAAGAAAAATTCAGGGAACAAAATCAACCACTGTATCTGGCATTCATTGACCTTGCAAAGGCATTTGACACAGTGAATCCCAGTGCTCTATGGACCATCCCCCCAAAAATCGGATGCCCTGACAAATTTGTGAACATCCTGCATCTCCTCCATGATGACATGATCACCACAGTCTTGGACGACAATGGCTCCCAAAGTGACCCATTTAAGGTGGAATCAAGTGTCAAAACAGGGATATGTTATTGCTCCAACTCTATTTTCCATCTTGATAGCTATGATACTGCACCTTTTTGATAGGAAGCTTCCTACCAGTGTGGAAATCATCTGTCAGACACATGGCAAGGTATTTAACCTCAGCAGACTGAAAGCCAAAACCAAGACACAAAAACATGTTATAGAACAGCAATGTGTCAATGATAACATAGTCAGTGTTCATTCAGAAGACCTACAATCCACTGTAATACACCTTTGCAGAAGTATACAAAAAGCTTGGCCTCTCACTGAATATTGAAAAAACCACAGTGCTATTTCAGCAGGTACCAGCCAATCCCTCTGCAATGCCAGAAATACAGCTTAATGGTGTAATGTTAGAAAATGTTGACCATTTCCACTATCTTGGCAGCCACTTCTCCACAAAAGTCAACATCAACACTGAAATACAACACCATCTGAGTTCTGTGAGTGCAGCATGTTTTCAAATGAGAGTGTTTGAGAATTAGGACATTCATAGGGCAACCAAGATGCTTGTTTAAAAAGCTATTGTCCACCCAACTCTGTTATACACCTGTGAAATGTGGACTGTCTACAGACATCACACTCAACTTCTGGAATGATTCAATCAGCATTGCCTTCAACAAATCCTGCAAATCTCTTGGGAAAACAGGTGGACAAATGTCAGCATGCTGTAAGAAGCAAAGACCATCAGCACTGAAGCAATGATCCTCCACCATCAACTCCGCTGGACTGGCCATGCTGTCTGAATACCCGATATCCCAAATAAGTTACTCTAGTCTCAACTTAAGAATGGAAAACAGAATATTGGTGGGCAGGAAAAGAGATCAACGATGGGCTTAAAGCTAACCTTAAAAACTGTGGCATAGACATCAAGAATTGGGAAGCCTGGCTGTCTAGTGTTATAACTGGAGTTCAGCTGTTACCAACTGTGGGATTCGAAAAGGCATGAATGGAGAGTGAAAGGGAGAAACATGTCAAGAGGAAGGCATGTCAAGCCAACCCTTGTTGGGACCATCTTCCATCTGGAAATTGATACCCTTATTGTAAAATAATATGAAGATCAAAACTAGATCACCTATGGACCCACTGCGAAGACTCTACACTCGGAAGGCAATTATACTTGGACACAAGAGATCACCTATGATCATTACTCAGGGCATAAAAGCTGTTTTTCATAAGAGCTGGATAATTGCACTATTTCAGCATTCTCATGAAACCTTCTTGTGATTCACAATATCAGGTCTGCAATGGAAGGAAGCTGTCATAAAATAAATAGTGGTGGAACAACAGTGATATTGGATTCATTGACAGCTTTCCCCCATCAATGAAAATAAATTATTCAATCTCAATTCAAATGTAATGCAACTATGGAAGATACACAATGTCGTGTGATAAGCGACATCCCTGACTTCCCCCAATGCTAATCTCAACACATCACTTTCATTTTCACTTATGAATTTTAGCTGCACTCATCAATGAAACTGTACCTGAAGTTGGAATCTTGGAGACAGTCTTAGAAACCCAAGCACGGTGTCTGCAATATTATGCGGAGGGTCCCTACTCCCCTAAGTCCCTACTCCCCCATTTCCTCTTTTCTTTTTCTTATATTGCTTATTGCCTTGTATCAACTGCATTTGAATAGTTGGCATCTTAATGCAAAGGCAGCGGACACAAATAAAAAAAAGATAAGAATACAAGTAAAACACAACTGGCAAGGCTGGACATTCAACTGACTGAACACACACTCAAATAAAAAGTAATACCATATTTACTCGAGTCTAACGCTTACATTTTTTGGCATATAAAATGACTCCCATGTATAAGACGACCCCTGACTTTTGAGAAGATGTTCTTGGGTTAAAAAGTAGTCTTATATGCCAGAAAATATGGTAACTATTTGATTTAGAAACCATCTCCAGTCTCACAACCTGAATTTATTCAGAGTTTTTTAAAACATGGCATAGAAAGGAAGTGGTATCACTGTACTAGAAATATATGTGTTTAATCTAACCAAATTTAAATCTGATAAATGTTTAACCTTTTAATTTGTCCAGACTTGTATAATTTCATCAGGTCTTACCTTCGCTCTTTTCCAGAGGTGTGCCATCAACTGCTTGCCAGCCATCATGCCCTTCTGATAAGTCTGGCCTTTTCATCCAGATATCATTCCATACATGGAAGTTCCTATGGGCAGTTAGATGACAAAATTGAAAATAAAAATAATCTGCAATTACAGGTACAACCATCAGAGGAATAATGCTTTCATATACTAAGTCAACCCATTGGTCATTCTAGGTCAGTGAAGCTAAAAAAATGTTTTGGCTGCAGTTACACTTTAAAATATTCCTGTTCTAACTTACATACAAACTCAACCTATTTTGTTCATAACTTGAGGACTGCATGTCCATATTTTAATTTAATTATGTACCTAATATAGTGCAAAAAGGTAAATGCTGAATAAGAAGCGAGAAATCATTGTCTACAGTTACATTACAAGGGCATTAAAGGGTAATAATTACCACACAAAATCTCCATCAGGTAGTCTTTCCTTCTTTTCATTGTAGTATATATCTACATTTATATTTCCCTCTTTATCACGACCTGCATCCGTTGTTGTTACGCTTCTTGCTGGAATCCCTAGACAGCGCATGACTAGGACGCAAAGAAGGATATCACTTTGAGTCTATTGGTTTCTGTAGTTTCCTTTTTCACTGCTTACTTATATTCTCTAAGGCAGTGGTTCTAAACCAGTGGGTCCCCAGATGTTTTGGCCTTTGTAGCGATTCATACATTTGGTAGGCCGCAGCCTAGAAGTCAGTGAGCCGGCCTCCATGTTGTGAAGGCAGCTCAGTGTAGCAGACATCTTAGGAGAGGCAGCTAAGCAGAGGGGAGGAGCCCAGCTATCTCCTGATTGGTTAAGACCAAGGGGAGGAGTTGGAGGCAGAGAGTGTAAAAAGGCTGTCAGTTTTCACAAAGGAGAAAAAAAGTTTGGACAGGAGAGAGAGAGAGGGTTCTGACAGAGAAGAAGAAGGATTTCTGACAGGGAGAAGAGGGTAGATTTTTTTTAGTGAGCTAAGAGTTTGCCTGTTAGAGAATAGTTTAAGGCAGGTGCTTCTACAGAGTTTAACTAAGAGAGTCAGAGTGAAGACCTGTGTTGAGTTAGGACACAAGTGGTTATATTCTCTTAGGGACAGAGTAGTCTGAGGAAACTTAGATACTCTGGGAGACAGCCAAGAGAGGCTTGTTGAAGGGGCTCACTGCTACAAGGTATAGAGTACAGTGAGGGAAATAGCTCATGTTAAAGAAAGGAAACTCAGTTTAAAGAAACCATTTCTTAAGAAGATTGTGCTTCAGTAACAAAATACCCTTGTATACCTCATAGAAGTCAGTTGTATGTTTCAAAGATCTTAATAAACTTATTCTCTAGTTCACTGTTGAAATTGCCTTAGCCTTGATTCATTATATAAGATAAGTTCCAGTAATTCTCAACATCTTTACAATTCAGTCACTTGATAGGAGCCATAAAAAGAAGGAGCTGGTGTATAAGAAGATTTACCTCAAGTTTAATAACAAGACAATTTCTCAAAATAAAGTTTGAGTGGTGGCAGCAACCCTACCATTACACACTCACGTTTCCACGACACACTATGAAGTGCTTTGTGACAGGATTGTGTTAGTGTTCAGCCAGAACCTAAATAAGTAAAATCCTGTACCCTGATCTTTCAAAGTGGTGGTCAGCTGTGAGATGTTTAACAACTGAAGGAACGTGTGTGAGTGTGTGTGTGTCTGAGGGGATCTGTTAGAGAAATATTAGTTCAGGATCCTCTTCAGTCTTTACAGAGACCGTGTGTCAAGACCCAGGCGGACCAACGAGGCGAAACAGCAGCTTAAGGGTTAACAAAAGGTGTTTAATGGCAAATTAACAAGTCAAATGACTCTTATCAGCAGAGCGTGTAAACAAAAGAGCCTGCGGCTTGCAGGAATGTAAACAAGGCAGCAACCCAGGCATTCTGGGCAGAAAAAAGGAAACTGAAGTAAAACAGACAAACAGTTCGTGGTAAGAATGGAATACAGGCAGTTCAAAAATCACAAAGCAAAAAGCAGTATGAGGAACGGTCCGAAGTCAACGCAGGAGACAGGCAGAATCGCAGAATAGTCAAGACGGTCCAAGGTCAAGGCAGGAGACAAGACTCACAGTTCCAAGGCAGGCAAAGTAGTCAGCACGGTCACAGAAACACGATTCTGGATGCAAGGACTCAAGGCAAGAGTTAACAGCAGAATACACAGGTACACAACACTTTGAACTCTGCAACATGATGGACCCAAGGCTACTCCTTAAATCCCATCAGAATCACTAGATTCGCCTCCAGGTGCATCCAGTTCCACAGGTGAACTGCGTTCCCTCCATTGTTGCCAGTCTGCACTCCGGGCTGCATCCTGAGAAGCAGTATCCGAAACCCATGGGTCTGTGAACCCATGGAACTCATCACTGGATGTTGGAGCATTAATCACATCCTGAACCTCCTGGACCCTAGTCCAGTCAAGCTCTTCATCATCACTTTCAGACCCGTAGCTATCTGCTATCTCTTTAAGACGCTTGGAAATGGATTCCTCATCGCTATCTGAACTGCGTGCTACTCGCTTTACACCACGGTAATCCTCCATCTCCATCTCCTCATGAGTAAACCCCTGAAACTCTTCCTCATCACTAGATTCTAGGAACATGTCCCTAATGCGCTTCAGCTGCTGCTGAGCATCTTCCTCTTCCAAGCCTCGTTTCCTCCTACTAGCACTAGTAGATACATGAGGCACACGCTGAGTTACAACACCGTGTGTGGTCATATTCTTATCAAAATGGGAAAAGCAGGTGGGATTAGGTGTTTTACTCCCTGACTGTGTTGAAAGTCTCTGAGTGTGCCCCGTATCCACGTATTTCCGTTATATTGGTGGCAGCGCCGGGATCTGTGAATGATCTATTCCGTGTTTCCGTTATAGCCTTCAACTCCCAAAAATCCTAACAGCTGGTAAAGTAGCTGGGATTTCTAGGAGTTGTAGGCCAAAACACCTGGGGACTCACAGGTTGAGAACCACTACTCTAAGGGATGGATAAGGGAATGGATTCCATTCCAAGTTGGCACTTCTAAGAATGTCCAGGAGAAGTTAAAATGCAGGAGTCCTTTTTTTGACCCTCTTGAGAAGAAGAGCCTTGCAAGATCAGATTAAAAATCCGTCTAGAACAGTCTCCTGCTTCCATCATATATTAACAGGGACCCAGGGGCAACAGTAATGGGAAATTCACAGCAAGTGATTTTCCAAGATATTCATCATGCCCTACCTGTGGTAAGAACACCAGAAAACACCCAGCACTGGGCATAAGAGACTGTTTTTTTCGTTCTGTAATACTGCTGCAAAATCTGGACGCTTCCTTTCCAATTACCAGGACGAGTACCATTTATATATGGGCTTCCCCATTTTCCAAGGATCACTCCCTTGTCATCCTTCATGTTAACCTAAGAAACAGTTCAAGAGAACAAAACCATACCGTATAATCAGTTCTCCTTTTGACTACAGTCAACGTTTCACATTTGCAGGTTTAACTTTGGCTTGACTTGATTATTCGTGGATTTGATGGACACATTCTCTCTAGGAATTCTAGGTTCTTTTATTGGGATATTTCTTTGACAAATTCAGCAAACTAAATATTCATGTCATATTCATATTTGTTTACTTTTTTAAATTCATAAAATGTATTTCTAAGCCAAACCTTCCTAAAGCAGTAGGCAACATAATGTAAAAGCATAACATGCAAAAAATAATTCATGAAAAACAGAAGAACCTAGTTATTGTGAACAATTTTGCTTTTTTACAACCACCAAAGAATAGAAGTCAAACATTTTTTTAATTATTATTTTTCTTTATCTCTTCTACATCTTTTTCCCTTGGCTTTCTTTTTCTAATCTTTTCTATTTGGAAATTGTTCCCACACTTTTGATGCTTATTTCTTTTTATGAATTAAAACCTAATAATAAATTTATATATATATATATATATATATATATATATATATATATATAATATATATATATTTTTTAAATATATCGTATATATATATATATATATATATATATATATATATATATATATAGAGATTGCACTTCCAAGAAAGGTCTATTCTCTCTCTCTCTCTCTCTCTCTCTGTGTATCTCTGTGTGTGTGTGTGTATACACACACACACACACATTATAAAACAGAAGAACCGAAGATCGGAATTAACAAGCCAAAGTGTACCAGTATCCAAGTATCCAGACTGCGTTGGATAATACAGAACGTTGGATGAGCTAAGATTGGACAAGCAAGTCTCTACTGTACTACAATGGTCTGCAATGAAAATCCATCTCTAAGGTACTGAACCAACACCCTGAGCCCCCTTCTACACTGTCCTATATCCCAGGGTCTGATCCCAGATTATCTGCTTTGAACTGTATTATAGGAGTCTACATAGCCAGAAAATCTGAGATGAATGGAGAATCTGGGATCAGATCCTGGGATATAGGGCTGTATGGAAGGGACCTTAGATGTACTAAAAGCCTGTAATTACTGGACCTGACAGACACTCATTGGAAAATAATTTCGCAGAAGAAGAGCCACTTCCAAGAAAGGTCTATTCTTTGTGTTCAACACCCAAACAGGATCTCCAAATTTGACCTGAGTGAGAGCAGGAACATTGAGTTCGTGTTAAGTTGCTCCCTTGAGTAACCCAATTCCAAACATTAAAACAGAAAGACTTAAATAAATAACTACTTTCTGGTAGCACAGTGCAATTATTAGGTGAACATTTGTTTTCCCAGGACATATCTTTGGGTTTAGAGAGATTCTTGGGCTAGCTGGGCCTAATAATTCCAAGTGCTGTTGCTCCATCTTCTTCATAGTATAGCATTCATGAGTTTATAGCTGTGCCACGCAACCATGCTGTGTACATCTAATTCCTGCTTCTTGGCAGGGGGTTGGACTGGATGGCCCATGAGGTCTTTTCCAACTCTATGATTCTATGATTCTATTAGAGCATTTATTAAACGACATACCAATGCTGACATAGCTCTGGCAATCATAATTGGATCTCGACGATCGTTTGGTCCAAGTTCACTCTTGTGCAAGAGGTACATGCAGCAATCCAAGATGTCTTCTTCAAACTGATTTGGAATAGAAAGCAAAGTTGGATCATTCTTCAGTTCTCCATTGGAAAATACTCTCATTAGTAAACCCAACAAAGACTCTGTTAATCTGAGTTTTAAAAGCTATATAACAGGGGTCTACAAACTTTTTAAACAGAGGGCCAGGTCACAGTCCCTCAAACTGTTGGAGGGCTGGATTATAATTTGAAAAAACAAAACCAAACCATGAATGAATTCCTATGCACACTGCACATATCTTATACACAATACAATAATTAAAATGAAGAACTATGTTAACAAATATAAACCTATTAGTATTTCAATGGGAAGTGTGGGCCTGCTTTTGGCTGATGAGATAGGATTGTTGTTGTTGTGTGCTTTCAAGTCATTTCAGACTTAGGTTGACCCTGAGCAAGGGCCGGGTAAATGATCTTGAAGGGTCGTATCCGGCCCCCGGGCCTTTGTTTGAGGAGCCCTGCTATATAAGATTTCTTGAATGCATGTAATGTTTGTGAATTTCTGTGACTCATGGCAAACTCGGGACTCTTGTTGCTATTTTTGCAGAGAACAACACAGAAACAGGTTCAGAGTGTCTTCTCAGGCAATGCTGCTATGTGTATCCCATAGGCTGCATGAATTTATTATGTCATTTATTTTTCTTCTAATTGTGTAGGTTATATGCAACAAAAGAAAATAAATAATTCTTTAATAGCAAATTCAAAAACTATTTTTTAAAAAGGAGTTTTAACTAAGATACACTCACAACTAATACAGCTCCAGAAGTCTACCTTGGTTTAGAATTTGCTTTGAATGTCTAATTGGAATATCTCTTCCTTCAGAAGATGTCGTAATCTTCTGGCAACATTTACTAAAATGCCTTCTAAAACAAAAGTTAGCCACATGCAGACCCTAAGATCCCACTTTCCAATTCCTCAAGCCCCACAACCCCTGAATTTAAAATAAAAATAGCTTTAAAAATTGAACATCCACCCTACCCAAAGTAATTTGCATCCACATAACATCCCCCATAAATATGGGGTAGTATTGTATTGTAATCTATTTTGTTAGCCGTTATTTATAGAGCCTCCAGTGGCACAATGGGTTAAACCCTTGTGCTGGCAGGACTGTTGACCAAAAGGTCAGTGGTTTGAATCCAGGGAACGGGGCGAGCTCCGTCTGTCAGTTCCAACTTCTCATGTGGGAACATGAGAGAAGCCACCCATAGAATAGTAAAACATCTGAGCATCCCCTGGGCAATGTCCTTGCAGACAGCCAATTCTCTCACACTAGAAGCAACTTCGCTCCTGACCTACACAAAAAAGCCGATATTTATACAGTCAAATGTACCTCTGCATCACTCTGGTTTCCACCATGTTTTTGTAGATTCACATTTGAATAAGTGAAATGCAAGTGCATGCTTATATCCAAAGAACAACAAGAATGAAATAGATGTGTAGGTCTTTTTACCTGCCCATAGTGCCAAGGCTTTGGGAATATATGTTCAGTTGGTCCACAATACTGAAATCCAGTAGCATTGAGCACATACTCAGCTTTTTGGGCATCACCAGCCATAAAAACAGAATCCGCTAAAGCAAATGCACAAACACATTATTTTTTAGTTAATTCTCTCTTCCCCCTCCCCAGGCTAGGAAAAATGCTTTTAGGGTGAGTAAGTATGGCTGTCAGAAGCAGAAAGGCTTTGATAGATATTCAAATTACTTTACTTGAATCATTGTCTGACCTTACTTTTTTGGGCAAGGTGATTGAAAAGGCAGTTGCCCTCCAACGCCAAGCAGGCTTGGATGGCACACACTTCCTTGACCCATTTCAGACAGACTTAAGAGCAGAATACCGAGTTGAGACTGCTATGGTTGCCTTAGTACAGTGGTTCTCAATCTGTGGATCTCCAGGTGTTTTGGCCTACAACTCCCAGAAATCCCAGCCAGTTTACCAACTGTTAGGATTTCTGGAAGTTGAAGGCCAAAACATCTGGGGACCCACAGGTTGAGAACCACTACCTTAGTAGATGATCTCCGTCTTAACACTGACAAGGGGTGTGTGTCCTAATTGCTGCTTCTAGATCTCTCAGAGGAGGTCATGGGCCAGATGAGAAAAAATGTTGTATGATGGGAGCTGGCCAAGTCCATGGGTGACCAGGGCTAGATTGGTGTATGTTGCTGATTTTAGCCCCATGTGACAAGGTCATTTGTGTTGCCCTGAGGACTATAAAATCATCCTGGAGGACCTAGAAAAGTCTTTGAGATGGTACTTCTTTGGGAATTTTGAAGTCCTTCCAGGTGACTCTAAGGCAGTGGTTCTCAACCTGGGGTCTACAACTCCCAGAAATCCCAGCCAGTTTGCCAGCTGTTAGGATTTCTGGGAGTTGAAGGGGACCCCAGGTTGAGAAACTCTGCTCTAAGGGATGCTGGGACCAAAACTCATGTAATTTAATCATGTTATGTAATATCCATGGTTTCAGGTTATTGTTACCCAGGTGATAATGTATCCTTTGCCATTACAAATATCTTACTCTAATCTTATCAAACATTCTTATGGATAATTACTGGGTAATCCAGTCTTACTGGCTTTAGAAATAAAGAGCTTTTTAAAGCTATCATCCTTATATATTAGTGGTTGACATTACATTTGTTATGATGTTATTGATTACCTTCACACCAAGGATTGAACAATACATATAGAAAATTCTTTCCAGGGTCACAAACACTAGACTCTGTTATCACATCCAGACCATATTTTCCAATAATTGCATCCTCTGGACTGGTCACAGCAATGAAGCACTACAATAAACACAAGACCACCACAATACTGTATCAGGATCGCATATAACAAAATTAAGCATTAAATAAGACACATACAGTAATGCATCTCAGATGCCCTATTCCTTGATTACTAATAATAAATGATAAGAATAATGAAATAACCCAAAGTTAGCCATTTTCACTTGTCATTTGCCTGATTCAAGGGGTGTAAACAAATCTCTTTCTTTGAGTTTTCTAGGAGATGAGCCACTAAGAATTACTGACAGTTCTCCTCATTTGCTGATGTTAGGGCAGAGGTTATCAATCTTGGTCCATGGACCACCAGTGGTCCCCAAGAACCAAAATATGGCCTGCAGCCTCACTGTTACTACACCATTGCAACAAGAGTGCAATGCTGAGGCGATGGGGATGTTGGGATGGGAGAGGCTAACTACCCTTTGGAGCCATTCCATGTGGCACCTGGAAGCGGGGGAGCCTTGGTGTCTTCATTTTTAGGCCTGTTCCTGGGGTTATTTGGGGTGGTGATTCAGAAACTTGCATTAGATAGACCACATCAGCTCTAGATTATTAAATATGGTTTTCTGTGGGTGAGTAGACAGAGACTATTGGATGGCATATGTTCTGTATCAGAAACTAGAGATGATGTGGTCTATCCAATGCAATTTTCTGAATCAGCATCCCAAATAACCAAACTGAATCTAAAGTTGACCAAAAACTGATTCGTAATCCTTTTGGTACTAAGTTGGAGAGTGGTCCCTGGTCAAAGTGACCCCTGGTCAAAAAAAAGGTTGGGAACCACTGGGTTAGGGGCACTGAATCCCTGTTAAAGCGAAAAACTATGAATAAAAACAGCTACTTTTTTTGAAATAGTATCTAGTTTCTCCAGCATGACTATATAACTAACTTCTGTCAGACTGGAAGGCCTTGAAATTCCTTGCAAGTAAATGTCAATGAAATCTGCAAAGAATCAAATCCACAAAAATCAAACCTGCATATGTGGAGGGTTGACTTATTGTATTGACTACCTGAATCCAATCCTGATTCTTGATGCTACAGATTGGAGACTTTGTTACATGTTGGTTTTATGTGGGACGGCATCAAGAGAACATGCTGCTCCAGTTCTACTGCACTCCTTCAGAAAAAAGGCTGTTCAATAGATAAACTTCTTTTTGGATACTATTTGGTGATTAATAATACAAGTGAATTGGAGCAATCAGAGGTTTCCAGATCAAAATACAGTCCTTTTTTTTTTTGCTTCATCACTTTTCATGGGTTTACCAAATTTGAACAACAGCTCCCCAAATTCCTCATCCAGTTATGACCTGTAGCCACAATGATATGAGATGTGATGTTTGTTAGTTCAAATGTAACTTTTTCAAGCTCTGAACTAGACTTGAAATCCCACAAATCATTGTTAGTCTAATTTCTGTAATACGTATAATGTAAGCACTGTTTTACAGTTCTAATATGTCTGTTTATACATACAATTTATGTACTGAGGACAAACTGGATTAAATCCAGTTTTAGTTGGAAGAAGAGCAGATGTTCTTGGAAGAAACTGATTATCTGGACCCGTCACAGTCTGGATTAGGTCAGGACACAGAACTGAAACAAGCTTAGTCTCCTTAGTGGATGATCTGCGTAGGGAACTTGTCCCTATTGGTTCTCTTAGACCTCTCAGTGGCCTTCAATGCTGTATACCATGGTATCCTTCTGAGATGCCTTGTGAGATTGGGCCTTAGAGGTACTGTCTTGCAGTGGCTCCAGTCCTTCCTAAAGGGTCATTTTCAGACAGCTGTTGTTGGGGACAGCTGCTCGGCCCCGCAACCATTGATTTGCGGGGTCCCGCAGGGTTCAGTACTGTCCCCCACGTTGTTTAACATCTACATGAAGTTGCTGTGAGAGACAATCTGGAGTTTTGGAGTTTGATGCCATCTGTATGTAGATGACTGCAGAAGTCATTGATACTATGTATGTGTTTAACTGTTAGAGTATATATTTATGTTTGTAACAGTAACTAAAAGTTACCTGGTTTGAATCCACAGTGAGCGTTGCCAAGGAGACCAGGCAGGCTAGCTCAGGAGAGTGAGAAGTGGGCGGAGCCAAGCAGAAAAAAGTTATGTGCGTCTTTGGAAAAAGGGGCAGTGTGTGAGTGAGTGTGGAGGCTTGAAAGAGCCTGGGAGAGAGGTGTGTGTGAGCAGCTGGAGGTTTTTCAGTCTAGAAGGGCTGAAGAGAAAAACCTGGCCAGTTTCTTTAGTCAAGGAAGACTAAAGGAAGCTTGTTAAGATCCCTAGTCAAGGAAGGACTAGAGATCAGAGATTTGATCAAGGAAAGATCAAATTGGAAGGCTATTCATAGTAGGAAACATTGTTCACTAAAGAGCTTCACCTCAGTAAAAGTTAGCCACGAGCTGTGTTATTTGGAAGAGTGGACTGTATTACAAACCAAGTGATATTCAAAGTTCTATAAGTTATTTAACAGCCTGCAACCATACGCTTTGTACACAATAAACTTGTTATCTTTTGTTGAAGATCGTCTCATCTCAATTAATCTGCATCTGTAAAGCCAGACCACATCGGTGGTACCTCAAATACCTCACGTTGGTGGCAGTTACCTTAATTTACAAGTAATAATTGGCCTCCTCTATAATATATTCTTATACACAATTGAGGCCTGAGATTAATTCCCTCCATAATCATCCACACCTGTAGAATTGGTTCGCGCATAACTGTACAATGACGTCCAACCGTGTTACTCCTTTCCACCTGTGGCTAAGGAGGCTGTCCAGATCCTGAACAGTGTGGTGGCTGTGATGGTCTGGATGAGGGCGAACAAATTGAAATTGAATCCAGACAAGATGGAGGTACTCCTGGTCAGTTGAAAGGCCGAACAGGGTATCGAATTACAGCCTTTGCTGGATGGGGTTAAATAAATAAATTTCCCAAAATGAATGAAACTTCTTTATCACACTTATAGGCCATTGCATGATTTTAGTGGCATTAGTTGATAGGTGACATGAAGTTATTTGACCTCCAAAAAACCCTTCTTTTCCCACATTTTGTAACATGGTTCTCTTGGTTCACATGTAATGCTTGTGGTAAAGAAGAACAAGAAATTGACAGCAATGCCTTTTGTATTTTCTCTTTTTTGGTTCCTATGTCACTTGGGTATCAACTCCATTCTTGATACAATGAAGAATTTTGCATAAACATTTTTAACACACAAACACAAATACTGAAAGATTCATCATGATGGATACTTCTTGTGTTCAGCAATTAAAAATACTTTCTCTAAGACAGCCGTATAACTCAACAAGTGTTCTAGTTGGTTATTTCAGTGTAGAAAATCCCAAACATATATACCTCATTCCCATTTGTTTGACAGATCTTGGCATGCCATCCTTGATCATTCTGCCCTGACTTTGTGTCCAAGCATAATAATGTTCCATTGGATTGAACTGGATTTTCACCTGTTAGTAATTCACAAAGAGTAATGTTAATAGAGACTGAAATAACAACAGGTTTGTCTTCAATCCTATCTTTGCCAGCTAGTCTAACGATAATAGTGGTGAGAGTAGTAGTTATTCATTTATATTCATTTATATATTGCTTCTTTCATTATATCCCTCTTCCCCCCCCCCAAAAAGTGAAACTCAACAGAGTTTATAAAAATGAAAACAATTACCACATTCAAGTGCGTAAGTAAAAATACATGAGACATTATTTATAACATGTGATTACGCTACGTATAGAATTTAAGAACATAAAACAAATGTAAAACACCACCCAGACAAAGGATGTCTCCAGACAATAAACACTCCAAGGGAACAAAGGCTTGGCTACTTCCAGACAGATGCCCTCACTACTGACTATGCAATCTTCTCAGTTACTCACATGCTAATGAATGGATCCCACTCAAACACTTGCAAATCAGGCTTGCTAATTGCACCCTTCACACTTGGTTAATAGACATTGGTTCCTTTTCCCTCCCTGGACATGCCACAGGTATATATACTCCACTTGCTTTACCACCATCAGATCCTCTGGAGATGCCAGCTACAGATGCAGGCGAAACGTCAGGAGAAAATGCTGCTAGAACACGGCCATATGGCTGTGTTCTAGCACAACACTCCAGCATTATATTTGCCATTTACCATAATTTAAAGTTTATATTTAAACAAAATGGTTCTAATTTTATGTCTATAAGTGGCTACTTAGCAAGTAAGTTTCTTATACATGTGTATTCCTTTTTACAGTCTATTCTCGTTCAACCTGAGATCTTGCAATATTGTGAAATGGTAAAAGGTGGTTTTAACCTGGTTGGTGTTTGTGTGAAAGATTAATTGGAAGGTCTGTGGATCACCTGAAATAATAATAGACTATAATATAAATCTTCCACTTTCTCTCTTTCTGGGTTACGGAAGCTGATGTAATCTTTCAGAAAATTACATCAGCTTCTATGAATTTTCTTGAACTTGTACATGTGATCATTTAAACTCTATATTTCTGATTGTGGAAACTGATGGATACATATCAGTTCAGCCATATTCCTTGACTTTTGTAGATGACTGAAATACATTATGCATCCTTACCGAGGCTGAGTTGCAGAAAGATTTTGTCATCATCTTTCAACTCCCTGCTGCATGATACTTTCAACTGAAACTCTTGCCCACGCCGTACAATCAGGTGATCATTCTTATACCTGTTAGTATGATGAAGACAGGTATTCTCCTTTTTAAGGAAATCAACCCCAGTGATCTTTAGAGAACATCCTGGAAATAACAACAAAGAAATGGGTTTTAAACTTTGTTTTTGGTTTTCAGTTTGCTCTAGATACAGGGGAAAGGACTATCACACCAACATTCAATGCCACAACAATAACCTGCCTTCCTGCATTATTCTCTGCTTAGTGTGCCTCGTGCCTCATTAGTGTTTTTATTACTATTGGTAGTAAGATTGAACAGTTTAGCATTTAAGAAATCTGTAAACACACACAGAGCGCAAAGCATATATAAATTAGATTTATATACAAACTAAAAAGGCTTCATAACTACTTGCAGAGGTGCTTTGCTAAAATGTGCTCTTCCAACTTGGAAAAAAGAGAGGGTAAAACTGCCTAAACAAAATGGAACATAAGCAAACTAAAACTATGTTTGTGTGTGTGAGTGTGTGTGTGTGTGTGTGTGTGTGCGCGCGCACACACATGTGTGTTTTGGCTAAAACTAAGGGCCCTTCCAAACAGGCCCTATATCCCAGGATCTGATCCCTGTTTTTCTGTTTATCCCAGATTATCTGGCAGTGCAGACTCATATAATCTAGTTTAAAGCAGAAAACCTGGGATCAGATCCTGAGATAAAGGGCCAGTCTGGATGAGCCCTTAGAAACAGTAAATAGCATGAATGAGAATATGGAATATGTCTTTAAGAGAAATGCAAAACAACAACTTCTCAGTATGCAAAGGTTGTGCACTTGAGTACTCCCCAGACAGAGTAGATGTGGCAGCAACATTACTATATTTTAGGTAACTGACAAAAGCTTCTTTATTTATCAAATTTTTCTAAGTACAGTATTTATGGACTGCATTTATCTCTGTTTTTTAATGGTGCAACATTAGAAAACATTGACCATTTCCGCTATCTTGGCAGCCACCTCTCCACGAAAGTCAACATTGACACCTAAATACAACACCGCCTGAGCTCTGCGAGTACAGCATTTTTTCGAATGAAGCAGAGAGTGTTTGGGGACTGGGACATCCACAGGGATACCAAGGTGCTTGTTTATAAAGCTATTGTCCTCTCAACCTTGCTATATGCCTGCGAAATGTGGACTATCTACTAGGCCTGGGTAACAACGGAAAAATTTGTT